GTTATCTTGAGAGATATCCCTGAACTCCTGTACGGGGGTTCTCTCCATACAGCTCTTCAATGAGGACTTACTTCCTTCAGCTCCCCTATAGAGAGTCCCTACCCTCAACAGCTCGTCTAATGAGTCTCACTCCGGCTCATCTGGAGTGACTACTTTTATCTCATCTCGATAGAATTTCTTCAGCTCATCTATGAAGTTTCCCCAGCTCGTCTCTCTCAGGCTCGTCTTGAGAGACTCCCTCTAGCTCTATAAACACTCCCTCTAGCTCTATAGAGACTCCCACCAGCTCGTCTATGGATGCTATATTCAGAGTCTCCCTCCAGTTCATCCAGAGGACTCCCTCCAGTTCGTATACAGAGACTCTCTCCAATTCGTTCAGAGAAACTCCCTTCAGCTCGTCTACAGAGTCTATCACCAGCTCGACTGCAATGACTCATTTTATATCCTCTCGGTAGATTCTTTCTAGCACGTCTTGAGAGACTCCCACCAGTTTTTTCATTGAAACTACCACCAGTTCCTATAAAAAGACTTCCACCAGCTCGTCTATAGAGTCACTCTGCAGTTCGTCTAGAGAGTCTCCCTCCAGTTCATCTAGAGAGACTCCCTTCAGTTCGTATAGAGAAACTCCCTCCAATACGTATAGAGAAACTCCCTCCAGTTCGTCTATAGATACTCCCTTCATCTCGACTGGAGTGACTCATTTTATTTCCTCTCTGTAGATCCTTTCTAACCCGTCATGAGAGACTCCCACAAGCTCGTTTAAAGAGACTCCAACCAGCTCGTTTATAGAAACTCCCACCAACTCCTATAAAGAGAGTTCCACCACCTCGTCCATAGAGTCTCCCTGCACTTCGTCTAGAGGACCTCTCTCCAGTTTGTCTAGAGAAACTTCCTCCAGTTCCTCTAGAGAGACTCCCTCCAGTTCGCCTAGAGAGATTCCCTGCAGCCTGCCTAGGGAAACTCCCTCCAGCTCATCTATAGAGACTTTCTCCGCTCGTCTAGATAGAATTCTTCCAACTCATCTAGAGTGAATCCCTCCAGCTCGTCTAGAGGGTTTCACTCTATCTCGTCAAGGGAAACGCTCTACAGCCCAACTGGAGAGAATCCCTCTACTTCTTCTATAAAGACTACCTCCATAGCGACTCCATACAGCTCGGCTATAGTGACCCCGTGTGTAGCTCGTGTTTAGAGACTCACAGTTCATATACGACTATCCCGCCGGCCCGTCTATCCGGGGATCTATCTAGTCTGTCTCAGAATGGTTCCATTCACTTCATCTTCGTAAGGCTCCATTCATCTTTGACTTTGACAGGCTCTATGAAGCTCGTGTAAGATAGCTCCCTTTAACTGATTTAAAAGGACACCCTTCAGCTCACCTATGAGGACTCCTTTCAGCTCGTATGTAAGTACCCTCCTCAGCTCATCTACAAAGACTTCTTTCATCAGGTCTTTAAACGATTCACTAAAAAGAACTTTCTGAAGCTATCTAGACATTGAAACCTTCTTATTCCACATCAATGAAAATTCGGCTTGTCTTCGAAAGAATACCTATTTTAAATGGGCTTACTTCATTTCATCCTCTAGGAATGGCTAACTTCAAAACTCCAACATCAAAATTTAAATTTTACCCCGGAAAACCTCATAAATTCCAGTACCTTAATTTGAGGTCGTTACCAGCATTCCTTGTCTTGATCCTTAAAAATTCTAAAGCCATTGTCTAACTTCTAATGATATGACGCATTTTGGTAACATGCAAACACCCTGGCCTAACTTTCTACTCAGCCAAGGTAAGGAAAAAAATGAAATGAACCATGAAAAATGTAGTCAACTGTAAAATATGCTGCACTCCATAAACTATCCCTTCAGTCGTCAGGCACTAAGTCCAGTAGACTTTCGTTTTTTCTCACCCATTCTTTGCATTCATACAGGAAGTTAATATATCATCTCATATGAACGTGTGTCGATGTGAGGGTGTGCAAAACTTTTGCAAAAGCCTTGCAAGTATGTAAAATTTTCACTTTTCTATTAAGTTTTGTTAGGCGTAAAAAATTGTGTTCCCCCACAAGATTTTTGGGTGAGGTATGAAACAGAAATTTTTGTTTTTGAATGTATACAAAGAGGGGTTGGGTGGGAGACAAATTTTTTGTTCATTTATGTAAATTTTTGTTTTTGTTCCTTATTTTTTTTTTTTTTGTTCCTTGTTAAATATCCGTTTAGGAAATATGCCAACCCATGATAGTTGGCTTGTTGGTTGGTAAGTGTTCCTTCTTGTACTTTTGGTCAGAGGGGTTATTTGCAGTCATGTATGAGGTACGTACGTATTTGGGCCTTTTCCATTTTAACCACAAAAGTAGAAAGTATTTTTATGACTTTTGCACTAAAATAGCGGTTAGTTTGAGCTATTGTTTTGCCAAAAAGAAGAGAAAAAAAAAACAAATTTATGAACATAACAATTTCTGGCAATGGGCCCATAAAATGCCATCAAAATTGAGTGGAAGATTTAAAACAGAGGAAAGTTGGAGCAGGGAATCTTTCATAGAAGAGTTGGTGAAGCACTTATTTTTTCAAGGGTATTGTGGATGAGAGAGTCTTTCATAGACGAGTTCTTCTCTTCTTCAATTGCTCAATAGCTCTTCTGTGGAGAAAAGAGCTACAAGAGCTCTTCTATGGATAGAAGAGCTCCAATAGCTCTTCTATGTATAGTAGAGCTTCAATAGCTCTTCTATGTATAGAAGAGCTTCAATAGCTCTTCTATGTATAGAAGAGCTTCAATAGCTCTACTATGTATATAAGAACTTAAATGGATCTTCTATGTATAGAAGAGCTCTTCTATGACTCCTCTCTTCTTCTTCAATACATCTTCTATGTATAGAAGAGCTTCAATAGCTCGTCTATGGATAGAAGAGCTTCAACAGCTTTTATATGGATAGAAGAGTTTCAATAGCTCTTATATCTATGGAGTTTCAATAGCTCTTCTATGGATAGAAGAGCTTCAATAGCTCTTCTATATTTAGAAGAGCTTCAATTGCTCTTCTATGGAGAGAAGAGCTTCAATAGCTTTTCTATGGAGAGACGAGCTTCAATAGCTCTTCCATGGAGAGAAGAGCTTCAATAGCTCTTCTATTTACAGAAGAGCTTCACTAGCTCTTCTATATACAGAAGAGCTTCAATAGCTCTTCTATGGATAGTAGAGCTTCAATAGTTGTTTGTATTGTTTTTGGTTATGAAACTTCTGGTTCCCCTGTCAGCAGCAATTTAACATACGATAGTCACCTTCGAAAAACGTCAATCATTATTATGATCTGACATCCATGGTTGCTAATATTTCGGAACACATGCTGGCACATGTTATCAATCACCACCTCCTGCAATTTCCGCACACTTTGCCTTGATGTCCTTTTTTTTGGGCGAATCACTTGATGATGGATTGACTGTACGCCCTCAAACTAATAATTATGATGTAAATTGTCCTGCCGATACAAAAGGGGAAATCATCACAAATCGATTAACAATTTGCTATGGCATTTACAGAGATTCCCAAAAAGCGAAAAATCCAAAGCGTTTAATTTTTGAATAGAGTTATGTTTTTTGATGGATTGCCAAAAATATGAAAAAAACTTTGTGGAAAAAAGAAAAATTGGAAAACCTGTTGTTCACTTCCATCCCCTTTTCTGGGTTTTTGTTTTTTGCCAACCTCTTCCACAATTATCTACTGCGTTGTAGGAATTCCTAATAATAGACAAAGGGAACAGCAAATCAACCACCGTGAAACACGAATATATTTTTTATTGTTTCCAATTCATCTCGAGTAGTCCTTGAAAAGGATTTTCTAACCACTTTTGATTTATTTATTAGTGATGCCCATAAAATGTTGAATATAAGCGGCTTAAATAAACTTTTTCATTAAAAATCACTCAACCGCAAAAAAAGAGTATTGAAATCATTGAAATTTGATGTTGTTTCCCAAATCTTATGTCCCATTCTGTGGGGGAAGGATATGTCAACGAAATGTCAAACTTAATAATAACTGACAGTAAATTGATAAGAAAAATGCTGTCCTTTTTTTGTGGCATAGAGCAGGGGAAAACAATGGTAATATGTTTGGGATATTTTTTGAAATATACAAGACATGATTTTCGGTTTTTCATATTTAAGCATTTTCTTATTTAAAATTGTTCTTTAGCTCTTTCCCTTTATTCTCTTGCCGTGACCACTCAGGTGCGTAAAAACATTTACAAAAGTCTTCAAAATTTGGTCGCTCTTTTGAGTGCTTTAAGAATTCTCAAATTTCCCTGGCCCCGGGGCCGCCAATTACAGCAGTGCTGGAGTGATGGCCAGTCGACAAAGACAGTCAAAGAACTTTTCACTGTCACTGCCACTCAGCAAGAACATTAATGGCCAAGGCTTATGAAAAACCCAGCCGAACGGCTCAAAGAATTCATTCATTATTAATTAAATGTCATTGGCCATTAAAAAGAGAGTTTCCTGATGCCGCGAAATAAAGTTCCGTCCGTTTTTTCTACTTCATTTAGTTTCTCAGTTGTTCCTTTTTGTTCTTTCGGAAACTTTATCCTTAATAAAGTAATGACAAACGTAGCAACAAAAAAAAAAAAAAAAAAAAAAAAACTTCAACGAAGACAAAAAAGAGCATGCCCCTCACAAATTGGTGGAAAACTTTTTACTTCGCCTGCTAAGGATGGCCGCGATCACAAGAAACGGATGTCTTTATTAGTTCAACATCAGGTGACTTCATTAAAGGGCAAATTTCCAGTCATAACGCTGTTGTTCATATTTCATACTGGCCGGCGAAACAAAAGAGGAGCAAAATTTCTCAGAAATTTCAGCTGCCTTTCTATTTTTACATAATTTTATTTTTCTATGAAAAATTATCCCTGGCGTGTTAATAATTCGGCTAAAGATGAATTACCTTTAAAAGAATATTTTATAGTTTTTTAATGGACATTTAATTAATTTTCTTTTTTCTGATGTCTTGTTCGCAGGTTCGCCGGAAATGGCTTTCATTCATGCCCTGGCTGCTGCCACTGTTACCAGTTTCATAGCACGTGCCTGTCGCGATGGTCAATTGGCTTCGTGCGGCTGTTCCAGCGGTTCGAGACCCAAACAGCTCCACGATGATTGGAATTGGGGTGGATGTGGTGATAATCTGGAATATGCCTACAAGTAAGTGTCCAGTCCAGTAGATTTTAATAAATTAATTCCCGTTTTTTTCAACTTCTGTTTGTTTTTACAAGCAAAGTATTTGTTTGACAAACAAAAAAGGCAAAGCTTTTGATACAATCATTCTTTATTCAATTAATTTAATTAATATCATTTCGAACAAATAAAAAAAGGCAAAAGCAAATACCAGCTAAGTCTTTGTCAGATGGTGGGAAGATATAATGGAGGATGAATGTTGTGGGAGGATGAAAAATATTAAATTATAATAATGAGTTTTTTGGCAGCAAAATGCATGAAAAAAGTGAGAAAACATAAATAATGGAATCGGAATATTTCGAAAAGCTTTACCGGCTTCTCCAAAGTTAGAAAAGTCTTACAATTTTTATACCAGTTCTTCGTCTATCAGATCTTCCATATCGAAAATAACTTCAACAGTTTGTCTGGATGGAGAACACTTTTACCAGCTCTCCTGTATACAAAAGACTTTTGCGCTCTCTTTTATGAGTAGAAGCATAAAAATACAAAATACTCCAGACACAATAGTCCAACTTATTGGTACCCCGAGATTTTGGTGGCTATTGTGCGCTGGAAATTAAGCAAGGAACCTCATTTTGTAACCATTCTTGTGTGGCGCGTGCTGAGTGCGATGGTGCTGAGTCCTGTTGGAATGTTCGAAGTCTGCGGCCAAAAAATTTGCGTGCTCAAGGCTTTAATACATCCTCCAGAATATTTTCGCGATAATATTCGGTATTTATTCCGATGCCACGGTCGATTAATACGAGCTGGAGCGACCATCGGCTGTTTTGGCGGCCCACACCATCACCGTGGCCGGCGCTTGAGTTCTGGTGGCCAGCCGAAGGTGACCTTTTTGGCAAGTAAACACGATAATTTTGTTTGTTTACAAACTGCTGGACAACGATTGTTTTCTCATTGGAGAAAACCAAATTCGGCAGTTCACCACTTTCGGCCAAGCGAAGCAACTCTTTAATTCATTTGAGTCTATTTACTTTCTGTGGAATTCAAGTTCTTGCACTTTTAGGAATTTCAATGGCTTTACCCCGAGCTAATGTTTTCAATATTGAGATAAGTTTAGCTCACGAGCCATTTTTCGGCCACTGCGACGCGGGTTTCGATCAAGTCGCTTCTTTACTTTTCGAACCATTTCTGCCGATTTTGCTGCTTTTTGTTCCGTACACTTCCTAGGCGTCGGGCTACGCTACCAGTATCACGGTAACGAGCGATGGTACAAGACACAAAATATTTATTCACCTTTAAATGCTGTAGAGCTCTAACGATTGCCACTTGTGGTTTTCCAGGCAAATATAAAGAAATCACACTGTCACGCTTGAATTCCATCACGAATAACCTTTTATTTTTTGGAAAATTCTCACCAATATGCTTTTGTACGCCTATAAAAAATATAATGAGCTGTCACTAGAATAATTTTAACAGCTATCAGATGAGTAGCTTAAAAATGACAGCAGTCTGAAGTTGGTTGTAGCTTTTTCATATCACCCTGTAAAACAGCTTTGGCCGCTATTGTGAAAGAGCGGCCCTTAACAACACTTTTAGACATAGAAGGGGTTTAACGCCTCTCTTATTCGGCGATAATCTTCAACCGATTTTCTATAAATATAAGTGTTTAAAAGATCTTCTAAATAATATTTTATAGAAGAGCTTGAACAGCACCTCTATAGAGAGAGAAAAGAATAGCCTCAAAGCTCTACTATAAATAGAAGAGTTTCAGCTAATATATGAGCTCTTCTCTAGATAGAAAAGCCATAGCAGTTCATCAATGGATAGAAGGGCATCGAAAGCTTTCCTATGGCTAGAAGAGATTCAAAAGCTGTTCAATGGATAGAAAAGCTTCAACAGCTCTTCTATGGCTTCAGTAGCTCTTCTATGGCTAGATGAGCTTGCAGCTCTTATATAGCAACAAAAGCTTATGCAGCTCTTCTCTAGTTATTCTAGGGTAAGAAGAGCTTCAGCAGCTCTTTTGTGGCTCGAAGAGCTTCAACAGTTATTATTTTGCCAGATCTTAAAAGCTATGTGATGTATTGCAGAGCTTTACCTGTTCTTTCATAGATTGAAGTCCTTAACAACTCTTCTATAAAGGGAAGAGCTTAAATTGCTGAACTATAGCGGTAGAGCATCTATGGGTAAAAAATAGTAAAGCTTTACCTCCTCTCCCGATGAGCCTTGCGGACTCTTATATAAACAGCAGAGATCTTTCTTTCTTTTTATGAAGCTCTCCTATAAAGATAAGACCTGCTGCAGCTCTTCTGTGAATGGAAATCACCTAACGGTTCTCTTATAGATAGAAACCCTTTAAAACTTCATTTGATATAAAAAAATCATTAACGGAAAATTTATTATGATTTTTCACGTCATTTTTTAATTAATTATAATTTTCCGCATTGATTGCAACAACGACAAAAAAAGTACTTTGTCAGAATAATAATCAATTCTGCTAAAAGAGCAATACGAACAACAAATGACTAGTTTTAACAAATGCCATTATTTAAATCTCGACGAAACAGGGAACAAACAAAAAAATAATTCAAATTTTAATTCATTCACATAAATTAACAATACGAAGCGTGTAATCTGCCGACAAAAACAGCATTGATTCAAACAAACAAATAAAACGTAAACGCACATTCCAAAAAAGAAAGATTTAACTCCCGTTCCATATGTTCACCCTCGCCTCCTCACATAGGAGGTTTATAGAATTTATAACAGGTTGTAAATATAATTTCACGTTTCATTTAATTTAAAAGCATGACTGGAGGTGTGGGGCAACAATAACACAACCTTCATTTCCATATATGTATATGACTAACTGGCTGGCGGCTTGGATGGTTGGCTGACAGGAGTCTATAAATAATAACAATGCCAATAACAACAAATAAAAATGCTGAACAGAGGCAAAACATAATCACAGTTTATGTTCCAAACCCATCGGCCAGTCTGTGACCCCCTTGAAAACATTTCATTCAAATGTCCTCTCAGTTGGTTCTTTTTTTTTTCAAACCGGGGGTGATGATCTATGGTAATGTGTCCTGACATAATATTGCCTATCAGGAAAAAAGTAATTCAATGAACTTCCAACACTTGTTTTTTGCTGCTCCTCGTTGTGCCACTACTCCCGCCCCCCAAGTGGCCTCCGGCCTTTAGTCCATAAAACCGTCACGAGTAATGCGAAAAATTTCGTATGTCATACGAATAAATCACCATTTCACATTATTTAGCTTAAAAACTCTGCAAAGGATTATCCAGAGTATAAATCAAATTTTAACACACCTCCACCCGCCAGCGAACATGGAGGGTGGGATAGGTTGGTTGGTTGGCAGTGTTCTAGCATGCATGTTACTAGCCCCATGTAGCGTACGGACAACAGTTTTATGAGCAGATTTTGTGACATTGGTGGTTGGTCGAGAAGTGTTTTTGTTTTATATTTTAAGGTTATTGTTTTTATTTGTGACCGTCCTGATTTTATTTGGCAAAGGAATGCTGCTGGTGAAATAAAATGTGATTGATGTCATCGGGGAACTAAACTTAAAATAGTCATAATGGGGCCAAACTTTTTTTTCTTTATTGAAAGTCAAAAAAAGTGTGGTGGGCTTACATTTAAAATGACAGGGATATTGAATATATTCAAAATAAGTTAAATTCGAAAAAAAGATATGATGTAAATCTCAAAGACACATTGAATCGGGCAATGAAGAGGGAATATAAGGAGAGAATACCAAAATGCGAAAAAGACCTGTAATAGGTCTTCTCGTAATTGAAGAACTACAACAGGTATTCCATTCATAAAAGTGTAAAGGTTCTTTATCAGTGTTTCTAGTATTGGAAAGCTTTTTAAATAAAGCTATTTTATAAACAATATTTCTAAGAGAGTTTCCGTCAACAATAGAGAGTTTCCGTCAATCTATTTGAAAGTTGCTGGTGCTGCTCTATCAATGGGGAAGCTCTTGAAACTTTTTCTTAAAAAAGAAAAAAAAATAAATAAATTAAAGAACTGTTGAAAGTTCTCCATCTTATCTATAGAAAAGCTTCTGAAGCTCTTCTATTTCTGGAAGATCTGCTGAAGCTCTTTTATCTGGGGAAGAGCTGATAAAGTTATTATATCTGCAGAAAAGCTGTTAAAGCTCTTAAATCTCTGTTACAGTTTTTAAATCTGTTCTACCTATAACTGTTGAGAACTGGTCCCTATATAGGTGAGTTTTTAAAGCCCTTTAATATCATGAAGAGCTCTTTAAATGAATATATCTAAAGAAGAACTATGTAAATTATTCTTTGTATTGAAGAGTTGTTGAAGCTCGTATATCTGTGGAAAAAGCTGTGGAAGCTCGTCCGTCTATAGAATAGCTGTTGAAAATATTTTATGTATAATAGTCATGTTTCCACCCTTTTCTCTATAGAAGAGCTGTTGAAGCTTTTCCTAAAGTTCATTCATCTGTAGAAGAGATTCTAAAGCTTTTTCTATCTATGAAAGAGATATTGGCGATAGATATAGAAAGCTGTTGAGCTGTACTATTTATTGAAGAGCTGTTGAAGCTTTTCTGTGTATAATTAAGCTACTAAAGCCTTCCATTTATGAAAGAACTGCAGAAGCTCTTCCACTTACAAAAGAGCTGTGACGGACAAACAGGTGGACGACGAACATGGTTAAAATTTGGCAATTTCGAGGAGTTATAAACGGAATAACAAACTTAATATGTCCTCCATAGTATGACCCGATTTTTAAGTGACCTTTCATTAAGAGGATGGGTGTAAAGAGAGTCATCCATTTTTTGCCAAAGCTCTAAGAAATATTCACTCTTTAGAAGATCTGAGAATGCAATTCTATTAATAACAAGTAAAAAAGCAGTAAGTTCGGCCCGGCCGAACTTTGAATACCCTCCGCCATTTGGATCGAATTAGGACATTAAAAAAATAAAATAAAATCCATTAAAAATTCTGTTAAAATCTTTAAAATACCTAACATCGGAAGGTAC